AGGAGGAGGAGGAGGAGAAGGAGAATGAGGAGGAGGAGGAGGAGGAGGAGGAGCAGGAGGAGGAGGAGGAGGAGCAGGATGAGGAGGAGGAGGAGGAGGAGGAGGAGGAGGAGGAGGGAGGAGGAGGAGGAGCAGGAGCAGGAGGCGACGGGCGGCCAGCTCCCAGCGGCCAGCCGCAGCAGCCGCTGGCGCGCAGGCTCGGCGCGGCCGAGAGCGGGCAGCCTGTGCCCATCTAGGCCTCCCAGATGGGGGCCGAGCAGGCGGGGTCGCAGGGTCGTGCCGCATCGCCGATGCACCGGCGATGCGGCTCGACGTGGAGCCCGATCTGCCACGCCGACGGGGCCGGTGCGTCGCCGGCGGTGCCAGTGCATCGTCGATGCGTCGTCGATGCATCGGCGACGCGGCGCGATCCTCTGATCCCACCTATCCGCACCCCATCGAGGGGGCCTCTAGCCCACCAGTCTGAGGAGGACCGAGGACCACCGCCACCGAGAACACATCGGCAGGGGGCCGACCCCTGGGCGGTGGCACGCCCGAGCGTCACCCAGCAGAAGGCGGCTCTCAGAGGCGTGCCGCCGCCTGGGAGTCGCCCCCCCCGATGGGCTCGCGGTGGCAGCGGTCCACGCCTGTCCTCTGAACCAGGGCCAGGCCGAGGGCAGCTGCGGCCGGCCGGCCGGTTCGGGCTCTGTCGAGTGCCCATCCCCGTCGGATCTCAACACGGCAAGAGCCAGGACGAGGCTTTGGGACGTGTTCGCCGGTTCTCGGCGGCCTCGGGGTGCCCTCCAGCAGCGGAGCCTCGTCGAGAACGTTCCAGGGCTGCCCGGGTCGTCCCACGCGACCGCTGGAGGCCCACGCCCTGGCCCGGAGACCAGCGGGGACGTTCTGGCCCGAGCACCAGCGGGAAGGGATAGGCCCAGGGGGTATCGAAATGGGCGCAGAAGGAGCGGGGACGATGACTGACAGCAGGTCCTCCCCATTCTGAACAGGACTCGCTGTCGGCGTTGCCGCGGGCGGTGTCCATCTGAGGCAGGAAGTCGCCTGCCCGACAGGGGCCGCTGTCGGATTTGGACGACAAGCATCGTGCTCATGCTTTCCATACCCATTTTGGGCGTGCCAAACCGTCTCAGATCCGTTGATCAGGCGCCCACGCGCCAGATCCACAGATCTCTATTCCATGTCAGTGCGTGCCAGAACCACTCCGCTTGGGCGGCAACGGATCCAAGGAATTGGTAGAAGTAATTATGTGTTTAGGCGTTCCAGCGTCCCACAAGTTGGGAAGCTGCCGCCACCATACACCGAGCGAGCTCACTGGCCGACAAGACGGCTTGGTGTTTTCTTCGAGCTTCTCGCCATCCCTGGTATCGGGCGGGTCTCCCCAGACACCCCAGGGGGTCAAAAAGAGCGAAGCAGTTCTTGTCCAGATTTGGGGCCTGCGCGGGCTGGTATTGGGCGCCCTGGGACCATCATCGCGACTCGGGAGGACAAGCTTGCACTTGCTGCGGCATCTGCCCACTCGCCCCTGTGCGGACTAGCTTTTCACCGTAACAGGGCTCTGCGCCAGTCTACCCCGAGCACAGTGTGCAGCACTGCTCTGCGAGGGCGTGATTCGCGGTCGCTTTGGAGGTAAAGGGGGGGCAGTCCTTCCCCCCGCCCCCCGACCCCCCCCGTGCAGGGGTTACGGGGGGTTAGGTCGCCACCCCCTTCCCCTCTCGGGCACCTGTTTTGGTGTCCCGCCCGCCCGCCCGCTTCAATGTCCCGCCCGACCGGCCCGCTAGTTGTAATGTTTCTCCCGCGTCGTCGTCGACGTCGTGCGTCCTAGTCTTTGAACATTCATCCCTAGAGAACGCCAAAGTTCTCTACGGGAGCTGTGCCGGGTGCTTTCTCCTTGACGCAGGTGCTTTTTCTTTGTTTTTTGAAAGTAGAGGTGACGGGTATTTTCGCCTTGGATGTGTGTTCTCTTGATGTCTGGGGGGGGAGCGGCTCGGAGTGAAAGTTTTGATTCGAAGCCAAGCGGCCGTGAAATGCATTTTGTCATCACTCTGATTGCTTACTACGTTGACTACCAGTAGCTCGAGTGTTCACGCAAATTCCTGCTCGAGCGTGCACATTAAATATCGAATGTTTTCACCCGGTGCTACTACTACTATTACTACTACTACTACTACTACTACTACTACTACTACTACTACTACTACTACTACTACTACTACTACTACTACTACTACTACTACTACTACTACTACTACTACTACTACTACTACTACTACTACTACTACTACTACTACTACTACTACTACTACTACTTGTACTAGTAATAGTACTACTACTACGACTACTACTACTACCACCACTACTACTACTAATACTACTATTACTGCTACTACTACTACTGCTACTACTACTACTACTACTACTACTACCACTACCACTACCACTACCACTACCACTACTACTATTACTACTACTACTACTACTACCACTACCACTACGACTACCACTACTACTACTACTACTACTACTACTACTACTACTACTACTACTACTACTACGGCTACTACTACTACTACTACTACTACTACTACTGCTACTACTACGACTACTACTACTACTACTACTACTACTACTACTGCCGCTGCTTCCGCTAGCACTGTTGTTCTCCGTACAATGTGTACAGTTCCAGCTCTAAGAGGCGCCACTGCTGCTACTGCTACCTCGCCTCGGAGCTTGCAGCACAACAGGGAGTGCCACGTAAGTTTCAGAATGCGCAGATTGTATACTATACGCTCTGTGTTGCACGCACTGTAGCTCCGTAGCCCCCAGTATAACAGCAACCACCATTCACAACATCAGAAGTTCTACTACTACTCCGTCGCGGTAAGCGACTCCAGACTTCGAGGCGAGTAACGTTTCCCGCTGGGACCAGGCCGCCCTGGTGCTTCGTCAGACACAAATTTCATCCAACTGTTAGCACCTTGAGTGTGCGCTAGCTGCATGATCAGGACGCTGAAATTAGGACCACCGTGGGCTCGGACCGTTCGTGGCCGAGGCTCTCCGTGGCCAGAAACTCCCGTTCATTCCTTATCCAGCTCCCCTTCCACGATGCCTGCACTGCAAGGCGAAGCGGAGCCTGGCGCGGTGCAAAACCATCAAGCTCCCAGCCGGTTGCACCGAAGTCGCGTCAATGAGTGTGCCGTCCACGTGCGTGAGTTTGATGAGAACCAGTAACGTATGCAACTCTTGACGCTCCGCGTGCCCCCAACAGCGCAGGTGCACTCTGCGCGGTGTCGCGCCAATTATCTGTCGCTGTGCCCCAGCCTCGGTCATACCGCCCTCTGGACTTCTCCTTGCGGGCCGCGAATCAAAAAAGTGCCCCCAACAGCCCATCCAGACACGGTCGCCGTGCGACAGCCGTCTTGGATGCCCTTCGGGGGTGCGGGGAAGGCGGGAAGATATGCTGTATGAGTCGTCAAGCAGTAGGTTGAACAGGTCGAACTTGCGCCGTTGTCGCTCTATGGGGGTCTTTTTGGAGTCCTCGTCGGCAAATGTCGACCTGCCACGGTTATGTCATCAGAGAGGGGCTCCTGCAACCACCATGTTGCCAATGCTTTCCCGAACGGGTTTAGACAAATATCATATCATATTGCCCCGAAGTAGAGAGAAGGAAAAGGAGGAGGAGGATGGGGGAGGAAGTGGTTGCATGCGGTTGTGGATGCGTCACTCTTTGTCAATGCTTTTCCGAACGGGTTCAGAAAACATAATATCATATTGCCCCGAATGAGAGTGGAGGAGGAGGAGGAGGAGAAAAAGGAGGAGGAGGAGAAGGAGGAGGAGGAGGACAAGGAGGAGAGGTCTTGGTGGTCCATGGGGCAACTTGGACCGCCGTTGATGCCTCGGAGGAGCCTCTTGAAGCCTCTTTGGTCTCTCGTTGGGGTCTCTTGGGGGCCTCTTGGTGGCCTCTCTGGTGATACTGGGCGCCTCCCTGGTGGTGCTGGGCGCCCTTTTGGGCTCTTGTGGGGCCATCTTGGGGGAGATCGATCACAGAAGGGGGGGAATTGAATTGAGTCCCCCCCCCTCGGAGGCTCCGAAATGGCTCCCTGGGAGCCTCTTGTGCCGCTCTTGGGCGCCCCTTGGGCGCCGCCTTGGGCTGTTGTGGGGCTGTCTTGGCTCTCTCTTGGGTCCCGTTGGGACTGTCTGAGACGTCTCTTGGGGTCGTTGGGGCCCAGACCTCAAAGGAAGGGTGGGTCTGAAATTCCCCTCGCCCCCTCGCAGGCAGGCTCCAAAATAGCCTCTCGGGGTCATATTGGGCCGCTCTTGGAAGTGTCCGGGGCGCTCTTGGGGCCGTCTTTGGCCCGTCTTGGGACTCTTTGGGGGCCCTCTTGGGGCCATCCTGAAGCCCAAGAAGCCCATCGGCAGCGACACAAAGCGAGAAGCGGGTTGGTTGCGCATGCTCCGAATTTGGAGGCAGAGTGTTTTTTTTGGTATTGTTGTTTGACGGGGATGGGGGGCGGTGAACATGGTCCCTGGTTGGCTGCCGGTCACCTGGGGGAAAGGTGTGCATCAATAGGGAACAGTGGCAACCACTCCCCCGAGCAGGGGAAGGAGGGGCTGAGGCAGGGAACTCCATTGGACCACTCGGCCTGGAGGGCTGGTGGCACTAACCACATTTTCTCAGTACCAATCTCAAGGCCTCACATTGTCCGGCCTCTTTCCTCATAGCTACGCAACGAAAGGCGACAAAACCGAGCGAGTGACCAATTGTATGGGGGGTATGGCATGCGCCCAGTGCCGCAGCGACGTGGCGTGTCCGTGGCGCTGGCTCCCGGACCCTCATAGAGGCTCCCCTTCGCTTTCGGAGGGCCTGCTCCCGGGTTGCCTTCGGTCCAGGTCGATTGCTCCCAGAGGCCTGCACAGGGCGAGCCCTGTGATGTGCGACCTCGCCAAGCCGCTGCTTGTTGCGGGGCGGCTGGATGTTTCGGCACAGCTGCGTGTATGCTGCCACGTTGGCTCGCAGCGTACACCCTGTTGACCGCCCGAGGAGGGGGCAGTGCGTCAATGTTCGCAGCCATTGCCCGTTATTCCATTTTGGGCGCTTTGTGTTCGTGCCATGTTGAGTCTCTCGCCGTCGAGCCATGGTTCTCATCTTCGCACGGGCCGAACGGCGCAATCATGAACTTCAGCGAAGCGGGCCTGTGCTACGCCGCGGGGCGCGGTGTGGCGCCTCTGCAGCGCGCGGTGGAGGACAATTGGGAGCGGATCCGGACGAACGTCGAGCGAGGCAGACAGCAGGCGGAGAACATGAGGGTCGTCTGAAGAGGAAGAGGTACGGCAGGCTCGTGTCGTGTCGGCTGGCGGCGACCCCGCCAGCGGCGTTCAACTTTGAACGCCGCGGGCGGCTCAGAATTGTTCGATGTGGAGCGATATGGACGTTTCGGAAACGGCCGATCGTACAAGGTTGTACGATCACCGCGGTGTCAGAAGCCAACGCCGAAGTCGGCACGACACGAACCTGCTGTACCGATCCTGCTACCCTGCCCCCCATTTTCGCCTGTGCGGGCCTCTGGGAGGCCTCCTCCTCCTCCTACCTCGTCGCCACCGCCAGATTCGCCTCGACATTCTGGTCAGAGCGCACGCCGGCAGAGGTCTGGGGAGCGGCGGTATCGGTAACTCTCGTCTTTCCCAGGTCATTTTTGCCGGTCTCATTCGCAACGCCGAGGAATCCGTATTCCGAAGCTACGCCATGCTGAAGAGATTGGGCCGACAGTTTAGAGACTACCACTTCATTTTATTCGAGAACGACTCGACCGATGATACAGCCAAAGCCATGAAGGAGATTGCTCAGAGGGACTCGAAGTACGAGTTTCAGACAGAAGTGCTGTCAATGGGAGATGAACGAGGCCTCGAGGCATCTCGAATGGAACGGATGGCGACTCTGCGGAACAAAGTGCATGATTTGGTAGACGCGTTCGTGCGCAGGAGTCCTGGTTGGGACTTACTCGTGATGTACGATTTCGACCTGAACCTAATTGGGCCGGATGTCCTCTCGCCCCATGTGTTTTTCGGCGCACTGGGACGCCAGGAGAGTCTGGACAATGGTTGGGACATGTTGTGTGCCAACGGCCTTGCTCGCTCCTGCGGGCCCCCTACCTGCAAGTACGGCATGCACGATGTCATCGCGTTCCGTGGGCGGCACAACAGTTCGTGGTCCTTTGACATCGCGAGCGTTATGTTCGACCAGTACGAGTTGGTGCCCGTGGACTCGTGCTTTGGTGGCCAGGGGCTCTTGTTTCGGGCATAGCCAGGACCGTGGGGGCAAGGGGACCCGGTTAGCAATATGGCAGTGAAGCCCCTAAATAAGCCAGAATCACTAAACCAGTTCTGCCGTAGGTCGTCTTTTTTCGGGTGACGGCAGTTCCGGTTAGTGGAGCGGGGCGGGGGGGGCGTCCCCCAGTACACATCATTAAACCAGGTCCCACGAAACCCAGTTCTGCCAACGCCCGATTGCTGCACCCACCGCTGTCCGCCAAGCCCGCCGTCTGTCTGGCGCGGGGACCTCTCCATGACCGCCGCCTGGGGGATCGACCCTTGGGGGCCCGGGCAGGCGGTGGATATGGATGGGAGCAGGAACTGGGGCTGAGAGTGTCGCTCTGCCGGGTCCGGCCCGCCACATTTCGGCGCGACACGCCATCCGCGTCCTTGCTCCGAACGACAGCGTGCCGAGCCCTTCCCGGACTGGGGTCGACGTTCGCGCGGCGATGCTGAGGCGTCAGTCCGAGATAAGTCCGACGTGAACTCGACGTGGATCCGACGTGCATCGGGTCTGCAGCTGCCGCGCGGGGCCTCCTGGCTTCGCTTCACAACGTGGGGCTGCGGGCGCTGGCCCGAGTCTCGACCACCACGCCAGGCATGTCGGGGTCAGTGCTCGTTTCGATGCCGCCGATTCGATTCGATTCGACTCCGCTGGATTCCGCTCCCGATTCGATTCGATTTCGGATTCCCATGTGGGATCCGATTTCTCCCTGGAGGCCTATGCTGGCCTGCCGATGTCTGCCGATCCGCCCTTTCCCGACCCGGCTGCCGACGTCCGCCGATGCGGCCCACGCCGATCGCCGATCCGGCTGGCCCATCCGAGAGTATGGGCTCTCCGGCCGTGCCGCGGGGCAGCGCGCAGGGCTCGGCCGGGTGCCCCGCGGTGCTCCCTCCCCTCCCGCCCCGCCGCGGGCCTCGCCGGCGGCGAGACGCTGGGCCCGCGCGCGCACCAGCAGCCACCGCCGGCCGCTGTTCCCGGAGGGCCAGATGCGAGGCCCTGCGATCCTGGCGACTCTCGGTCTTTTCGAGCAAGGCGTTCTCGCTCAATGTCGGGCCCCGGGGCCCTCACAGACCGACCCGGAAGGTTTCGCTGCACTCCAAACGTCAACGTCCCGAGCCTCTCCCGGACTCCCGCCCCGCGAAGCGGGGCGACACGCTGTCCGCTCGCAGGGCACCGCGTGTCGCCGGGGCCGCCGCCACGACGCTGAGCAACCAGTCCTGACCGTGTTTGGGCCCTCGTGGGCTCTGAGGAGCGCTCCCGGAGGCCGCGCGCGGCGCGCAGCAGTTCGATTATCAAGTTGGGCGCGTCGCGCCAACCAATCGGGACCGAACCCACCGCGCCCCTGGAGGGCGTCGAGGACCGTGGCCCTCGGCGGGCCCTGGACGGGCGCGCGTTGAGTTCCTTGTTGGGCACAGGCAGAAGCGAGATGAACCAACGTATGCCAACGTGTCCGCGGGTGCCGTCGATGTTTGTAGCACGCGCGAGTTCGGCAGCTCTCACTGCTGGCGCTGCTAGCCAGGGAATTGCATGTCCGCGCCGGCCCTCCAGAGCCAGGCCCCGCTCCGAACCAACATCACTGCCCAGAAACATGTAGTACGAGGTGCCATTCGAGGCCTCGCGAGGGTTCGTCGCGGATCGGGGGCTCTTTGTAGCGAGGGGCGGTGCCAGCATCGTGCGCGCGCGTTGGCAGGTGATCCTGCTATCTGCGTGGCGCGGCTTGTATGTTTGTGATGTCGTTTCGTGTGTGTGTGTGTGTGTGTGTGCTGTGTCCGGTGTGGCCGCTGCGCCTCGTGTGTGTGGCGTGCCGCTGGTCTACATGGCGCGCGCGGCGCGCGGGCGCGCGCTCTTGTCGCGGGTGGCCCTCGGTGCGTTTCGTTTTTGTTCCCAACCCTCCCGCTCGGCAGGTCTTCAGTGTGAATTCGCAGCGCTTCGCGCCTCGTCCCTTCTGCTCTTCGCCCTTCTCCTCTTCTCTTCCTCCTCCTCCTTCTCCTCCTTCTCCTCCTTCTCTTTTTCCTCTCCGCTTCTTTTCCTCATCAGCCATCCGTTTTTTCCCTGGCGTGGTGTGCTTTCGTTTTGTGGCCGCGCCGAGGCAATTTCAGCGCGCCGTTCGCGCCGCGCGCTGTTCGTTGTCCCGGGGCGATATGTTTGCGCTGAAATTCCCTGTGGCGCAAACCGCATGCCGGTGCCGCGACGGCCCAAAAGGTGTGCTGGCGGTTCCGTGGGCCGTTTTCGTTGCGACTCCGTTTCAGAAGCGAGAGAAGGACGTACAGTAATTGCATGAATCCACGCTGGTTTCGAGAGTACGCATTGCGCGAATGCTCGTATCATGAGGACGGTCTCGCGGATCGAGGGGCCGCGTTCATGTATATAGTTGGGCGCGAATGTCCTTTGCGGGTTCCCTGCCGTTGTGCAGCAACGGCAAGTTGAAGACATAACGACGGAGCACAAGAACAAAGCGAAAACGAAAGCTTTCTCCGGGTCGATCCTTGTCCCCAGGCGGTGGTGCTCGGGCGCCCGATGCGTCTTCCAGAACTCCAGCAGTGGCGAAGCGTCCTGGCGTGCCCACAGGCCTACCAAAGATTGTTATAATATACTTGTGTGGTTTGCGCGGCATGTTTTTAGAACGTGTATGGCTGGGTTTGATTTGTTTTAACACATCGGGTTTATGTTCAAAGATAAGAACATGTCGTGGAAGGCTTATAGAAATGCTGGGACGGTCGGTCACTGGTCAAAGAGCCGCTTATTGTCCGAGCTTGTCCTCGTCCTGGCTTCATCTTGCATGGCGGAGAGATCCCTGTGCCTCGCACGGCCTGCCCTCCGGGTCTTTGGAGGTGTCCGTGCCGAGGGCCCCCGCAGGCCTCTCCCCGGCGCTCCGCGGGCACCTCCCGGGGAGCGCTCCGGAAGCAGCTGGCCCTATCTGATCCTCCCGATCTTGTCTCGTTCCACCGCCTCTTCCGCCGTCGTGCCCTGCGAGGGGAGGATATATAGAAACAGAGAGAGAGAGAGAGAGAGAGAGAAACCAAAAAAATGAAGCCGGGGCTCGCAAACGGTGGAGCGCTCCGGAGGAAATTGGCCCTTCCGGATCCCTCCGAGATCTTCTTTTTCCTCATCCGCTTCCTCCGCCGCCTTCGTGCCCAGCAAGGGAGATTATAGAAAGGGAGAGAGAGAGAGAGAGAGAGAGAAAAAAAAGAGAGAGAGAGAGAGAGAGAGAACGAGAGAGAGAGAGAGAGAGAAAGAGAGATAGAGAGAGAGAGAGACAGACAAAGGCGGGGCCCTTCCAACGGTGCGGTGACCACACATTGTGTGGTGAGTCATTGGGGGTTTCGGGTGGCCGCCTGGCTTGAGGACTTGCGTCGTTCTCGAGGATGTCTGTGGCAACAGGGGCCTCCAGCGCGGTGCATCGGGGGCGGCCAAGAGGGGGGTGATGACTAGGGGGGGGGATATTATTGCGGAGGCCGCGATATCTCCCCAGGTTTCATGGCGCCTCTTCTTAATTCATTACGTCCCTGGCCCCCCCCCTGGGCCGCGCACATGCCGCCGGCCACGATTCATTGGCTGACGCCGCACCGCCGACCCCCTGGGGCGGCAGTAAGAGTGAAAAACGGAGTTTGCGGAACGATTTGTGGGGAATCTAGTGGTTTCAGTTTCCTGGGATTTCGTCGGGGTCGGTTGGCGGATCGGGATCGCGGCTCTGCTTTTGGGCTTCTCTGGGCTCTCCTGGCAGCACCTTTGAGGCCTCTTGAGAGCCGTTTTGAGGCTTCTAGGAGCCTTTTTGGAGCCTCTTGGGGGCCTCGTGGGAGCCTCTTGGGGGCCTCTTGGCGCCTCCTCAGGTTTTTTCAGGGCCGAGTGCTCGAAATGTTCATTCGGGTTCCCCCTCTGGGCCTCCTCTTGGGGCCGTCCTGGGGCCCTCCTGGGTCGTTTAGGAAGCGTCTGGGGCCGTATTGGGGCCCTTTTGGGCCGTCTTGGAGCCTTTTTGGGAGCTTCTTGGGCTATCTTGGGTCGATCTTAAAGGCTGCTTGGGCCGTTGTGGGTTTCCCTAGGGACCGGGACGATGTTTGCATCTGGAGGGCCTCTTGGGACGCCTCTTGGTGGCTTGCGTCTTGGGGGCCTCTGGGTCCGTCTGGAGGCAATCTTGGGCGTCTTGGGGCGATCTTTCGGCGACTCGTAGCCCTGTTGGCCCGTTTTGGGGCTCCCTGAGGCTCCAAGGGTGCGGCCAGCACCTTTGCCCCCCACCCCCCCACCCCCCTCCAAACCGGCCAGACTGGGCTCCCAGGGGAGGGGTTTGGGAAGGGGGAAGCATCTCACACGCAGTGACCCCGATGGGTCGGCGGATTGGCGCCCCCCCCTCTTGGATGCCCCCCTCCTGGCCGCCCCCGAGGTGCAGAGGCGGACCGCTCGGTGAGGTCGACGGGGATTCCGAGGTTCACCGCACGGCTTTGAGGCATCCATGAGGGGGGGGGGGGGGAGCGAATGTGGATCGGTGGCCGTTGCGAGAGTCTCTCAGGCGGCTTGGCGATGTACAAGATCGACAAGTTTCTGGGGTGCAGGTATGACCCGGAGGCCCATGTCAGTGTGTTTTTCAATGGCGCAAGTCGGGTATTGCCCAAGCCCGAAGTGTCCCCAGCGTTCCTTCCATGTTGGGACCCTGGGGTCCCTTGGGCCTCGTGAGAGGTGCTCTGGAGGCCGTTGTGAGGTCGGATCCTGGGGACACCCTGGGCCAGGGATACCTCTGGCAACACCCGTTCAGGTATCCAGCGGCTCAGACAAGTCGAGGCGGCCATTCTGGGGTATTTGGAGGCCAGTTTCGGGCCCCGGCCCCAAGATTTCCAACAAGTCTTTCGGGATTGAGCAGCTGCTCTGGCGCAGAAGGGTTCCAGAGATCCACGGGCCCACGTCTCGAAAAAAGTCCAGCCGCCAGATGTCTGGAGGGTGCGAGGGTTGAGGGAGGGAGGAGAAGGAGATGGATGGAGGAGGGATGGAGGAGGGAGGCAATGGAGGCAAGGGAGACGGGCGGGGTACGTTGGGAGGGGCCAGTACGTATAATCCGAAGGCCGCAATCGTTGGACTTCTTAGAGGGCAGAGAGCTTAATGAACAGCCCATGAAGGGGCAGCTGTTTTGACTGGACAGGCAGCTTTGACGAAGCCGTTCCGCGTTGCCTCACCATCGCGGAAAGTTTGCCAGTCCAGGGTATTGGCGATCACGGGCTCACCCTCATGTTCTGCCCTCTCCTCGTCCGCCTCCTCGCCCTCGCCCGTCTCCTCTCTTTCATCTCATTCCTCCTTGTCTCCCTCATCCTTCATCCCCCCTCCCTTCTCGTTCGCGTCTTGCCTCCCCTCCCCTCGTCTTTATCCTGCGCCCTCTCGGGCTCTCACTGGAGGCCCGGCCGCCGCGCCCGAGAGGTCAACGAGTGCGAGCATGTCGGGCTCCACAGGTGAGCGCGGAGGGCAGAAATGTTCTGCGTTTTCGGACGTTTTCGTCGTTTTCGGACGTTTTCGTCGTTTTCGGACGTTGTCGTACGTTTTCGGACGTTTCCGAGGTTTGAGGTTTTCGGACGTCTTCGTCGTTTCTCGGCGGCCTTCCAGCCTCGGGATGCCTACCAGCGGCTGCGCCGCGCCGAGAGCGTTCCGGGGGTGCCCGGCTCGTCCCGAACGGCAGCCGGAGGCTTGAGTTATTGACCGGGAAACCACGAGGGGATTGGCTCAGGGAGGGGATCGGCTCAGGAGCTCGGAGGGTAAGTCACGAGCGGCGAACGTAGCCATCTCCTCGCCCTCTCAGTCTGGATTACGGGGCGCAGTCCTGCAGACACGCGGTCGCCCCGTCTCCAGGTGGTCACAGCCCAGGGGTGCGGTCCGCAAGGCGGTGGATTCAGACATGCCTATGAGAAGGGCGCGGGGGCGGCGAGTGCAGCATCGTCAGCCTTGTTGTTGCGTCTCTGTGCGTGTGTTAGGGGATCTCACATCCCTCATCCCTCTGCCCTCCGCTGTCCTCCCAATTCCTCCCGGGCAAAGGTAGGACTCGAGCTCCCGGAAAGCCGGGGTTGCAGACGCCTTTCGGGCACGTCTTGGATTTTAACGGTGGTCTGGTTTCCTTGA